CCTATAGTCGTGGACAGCTAAGAAATGTACGGCGTGGATGAGTTCATGGAATTTCGTTATCGCCCTGAAACCAATCAGATTGCGGTATTAGCCAAAGAGAACACAAAAGAACCAACCACGAAAGAGAAAACGTTGACATAATACACTCTAAAAAAAAAAAAAAAACCGTGAGTCTGCTTTCCCGCTCAACACTCGGAGAGCCAATCAGCGCAACTTAAGGAGGCAGCTCAGCGAATGACGATACCGAAACATATGAATAGACCAAAAAACGCAGTCCGAGTTGTGACATTAAGCAATGAAAAACGTCACGCTTGCATGCATTGCTTAATCTCACAACTCAGTCTGCGTTTTTTGGTCTAAACATATGTTTCCGCATTGTCATTCGCTGAGCTGCCTCCGTAAGTTGCGGAGATTGGCTCTCCAAGGGTGTTGTGCGGGAAAGCAGACTCACGGTTTTTTTTTTTTTTTTTTAGAGTGTAGGAAACGTCCTGGCACCGAGCTCTTTTCGTATAATGCAGCGATTGTCTCGGACGTGCTTTGCGGGAAATTAGACTCACCAGATTTCTTAGAGTGATAACTTTCAAAGATTTTCCCGCCCACATTTTGTATTTGACATTCTTTTTCACGTGAAAGGTGCTTTGTCTCATCAGGAGGGTCTAGAAATGTGTGAAGCCGAAAAGTGAAGCCGCCGGTGAACTCGGTGCTGATTGGCCGAACCAGCTGATGACGTCACACCCCTTAGCTGGACGCTGATTGGCTGGTTCAGGTATTACGTCACGTGCGAGGCTACGCTCACTCGACTCCGCGGGGCTTGTGATTGCGCAATCACTCACGCGCCACCGCTCGCCCGTCAGACGGTGGTTGGATTGGATGTCGTCCGAAAACACATTTGCGGCTATGGAAGGTTCTGAAAGAGCTCCAGGGGTTTAAACCGCGGTTAGCGTCGGTGTTCCCATTCCGGGAATTGCTATCGAGTGTACACCCGCCGGCAATATGAAGGTAAACACACTGCCTGGTTTCTTGCCTGTTTTACTGCTCCCTAAAGCTATATATTCTCTCAACGTCTCAAATGGTACGTGGCTTGGGGTCTAAACTTTGCGTTCTAGCCCTCTTCTGGAACAGAGCTTGTTCCGAAACTTGCAGGAGCGTCAAAAACAAGAAGAGGGCTGTCCACCTTCATATCGCTCACGGGTGTTCACACATGCCACAGGTTAAGTTAGTCGCTAAACTCACCGATGAAGAGCGCGGAGAGCGTAGACGTCAATCCCAGAGGAATCGGTCTGAAACCAAGCGTTTCACGGGCAACAGAATTGCCCAACAATTTGCCATGTTTCTTCTTTTTTTTTTTTGTTGTTTCCTTTCTGTTTTGCATAGTACAAGTTTTCAAAGCTTTTTTTTTTTCTTTTCTATAACCCCTTCTCAACTTTAATAGACCGATCTCACCAAGCGTTCGGTGCTTGCGTAACTCCGCCATTACTTTCGTTCCCAGGAGGCAAACGGCAGTGCACGAGGGGGCTCGTGCTGTCTCGTGCTCCTCACGCGCAGAGCTTGAGCGAGGTTGTCGCACGTGCAGAAAGACTAAAGTTCCCTCGATGCGTTGCGGCAGAGGTGGCGTAGTCAAACTGGTTGGTGAGATCGGTATGTTTAGACAGCCGGAGTTAGTCAGCCTCAGTGGGCGTCTGGTGTCTCAGCTATAGATGAGAAATTTAGCCAGTGCAGTATGACTACTATACTCCGTGTCACTAGTTGCGTGCAGTACAGCCGAAGGCAGCGCCAGGTGAGGGGTGAAAGGGCAAGCACTAGGAAGGCTAAGGAGGAAGAGAGAAACCTCCTCTCCTCTCTAACGTTCCTAGTGCTCTCCCTTTCTCCTCTCGCCCGCCACTGCACTCCTCTCCCGTCTCGCCTTCCTAGTGCTTGCCCTTCCTCTCTTCGCCTGGTGTTGCCTTCACCTGCACTGCAAACAACTAGCACCACGCAGTAGTGATACACGATCGCACACCGGTACGACGCTCATCCAGGTCGAAACGGACAGGGGTGGGGATTGAACACAAACCGCTGGGGTCTGCAGCGCCAGCTTTCGCTCCACTTGTTCCGAGACGCCGTGCGCTAACACACTCGGTCACAGATTTCCCGAATTGAAGTGACGTGATCATATACTCAGTATTAAAACGAGGGCGCAGAACTGATATTACTGCAAAACAAGGCTTACATGCTCAACCTTTGACGATCAATTCACGGTCATTTAATGTTTTATTTAAGCTCGTCCAAGTCATTGAACGAAGTTATTTGATTTGAAATTCAAACTGAAAACTAATGGTTGATGTCGGGGCTGTGCTGAGTGTGATAACTTTTATAAACAATTTTAACATTGCCATTGGTTAAGTTCTTTGCATAACGCATGTATATTTTTCACGTATCTTACGTTATTAACCAAAAAGGGGATACGATAAAAATACATAAACAAATTATAAACACGTTTCTCTGGCATTTTTTTTTTTTTTTTTTGCAAATTCACCGGCGTCTTTCCCCCTGCGGCGCGCTCTGGAAGAAGATGCAGCTGTCGCTTTTGTCGACATCAAGTGTTCAAACTCACGCAACCAGAAATGGCGGTTATAAGTGGCCGATCGCGTGCCCTTCGATGTGTGCACGTACCGTTGTACCAGCAAAAAAAAAAAAAAAAAAAAAAAGATGGGGGGGGGGGTATGCTTTTCTTTTTTTTGAAGGTGTGCTGGTGAGGGACACGACAACGAAGGAACGCGACAATCAGATTTTATGCGAATCGTGCACGCAACATCAGTGTTTTTTCTTCTTCTGTTTTTTGTTATCGAAAAGAACAGAGGCAACAAGGTTGGTGTAATTCACGTCATAATTTATTGGTTTAAAACTAATCCCAAAGACACTGGGTTTATTTCAGCGTAGACTCGTACAAATAAATACTCGAAAAAAAAAAAAAAAGATTGCAGTAGTAGGTTTTCTGTCTAAACAAGGACTAGTTTCCTCTGACTTCACTAAAGCGCGATCTATAGAATACTATAAAGCACACACACACACACACACACACATACACACACAAAAAAGAGGCGCGCCTGTATATATATATAGTATATAGTAATTTATATATCTATATATGTGTATACGCGTAATCAGCTGCACAGGGAGAGCCGTCTGGCATTGGTATCAATCGTCGCTTGGACGGAATGACGCAGACACTGTATCAGTCGCTTCTATATAGAGACTGTTAAAACGTTTGCACTCGGCGTAAAAATAAGGCACAGTATGGTTGAGAAAGGTTTGCTGGAAACACAAAAATAAAAACAAAACACGAGACCGAAAAAAAAAATAACAACCATGATACCAGGCATTCTTCACCAGTATACATTTAAGGCACTTATGGTGATCGACCAAAAATAAGGCACTGTAGGATTGTAAAAGCCCGTAAGAATTGCATCAACCATCAATTGTATTCAACAATGTGTGCCTACACATACTGGCTACAGACAATGTACATATAAACGGTACAAATTGCACACAGAAACAATAAGGAGAGAACTCTAGCTGGAGACCTGTTTCCCTATGAAAGCCAGCTAAAAAATCTGCATGTTTATGACACCGGTTATTCGGGAACATCTCGTTAGTGCGCGCCGCTCTGTTGCCAGTTCCGCATTGATTGCTATTCGACGGGTGGCAGCCAAAGACAAACGAAACCTTCCAAGTGTTTATAGATTAAACAATGTCCCGGTTTAGGGAGATGGCTGGGCTATAAACGAGGGCAATATTGAGTCGACACTTCAAATAAAATAATGCCGTACGATCACAACATGTATATTAAATATTGCACGCGCCGACCTCAAAGTCGCGGCACCTGGCGGCACGGGACGTACAAGACACACAAAGAAACAAGTCAAGAAGTGATGAGTATACACTATTAAATAAAATAAAAAAAACATCGCTATTGCATACCCTACACACTCGAGCTCATTAATGAGAGATCCCTTTTTGTTGTAAGACATATCAAAAGGACCTCTAAGAGTATTCTCTTCAATCGTTTCAATGGGCTAAATATCGATCGTAAGACAATAATTTAATCTGCCCTGAACAAAGATGATGTCTGGCGATGTTCAAAAATTGTAGATCCTGCAAAAATAAGTAATCTGAGGTGATGTCGTCAAGGCGCACTGTGATCTTCTAGCTACTAAGACATGATTGTTGCGATGTCACGATGGTGAGGAATGCTGGGGTTGTCGACATGGGACCTTCCACTCGTAAATGTAATCAGCCTTGCTCTGGTTGGCGTGAGGTATACCGCGTTCCCATCAATGGGAAGTTTTTAACAGAGCCCTTGGGCAGGCCCTTGGACCTCGATGTCGCAAGTGGGCTAGAAAGTTTTATTGGTGAAAAAGAAAGAATAAAAAAGGACTTGACTCGTCTAAAGTTTTTCAGGAGAGAAAAAAAACAGACTTAATAGTATAGTCAAGAAAGTGGACGGATATTGATAAGGTCGTCAAGCCTCTTTCGATTCAACCATTTGAAAAGCTTCACTAGAAAAACGCAATGAATTTTTACAAATTGTAAGAAAAGAAAAGGTACGCAACTACTCACTACCAACCATATATGCCCCACAACAGGTGTGACGCATTACCATTGCTTTTGAGCGCGAATGGCTTTACGATGGTTCGATGACGTGCGCCTAAATCGATGTCGATTTCGACACTGGTCTCGGGAGCTTATTTCTGATATCTCACTTTTGAAGGAGCCGGGCAAGACCGCAACGACACTCTTCTTGAGTCGTTCTCGGCAGACGGATCTTAAAACTTTTCAAGGACATGGAAGTTCCCAGGTCCTTTCGACCAGGGGCCCTAATCTGGACGCTTGGCGGAAAAGTAGGCGAGAAATTCGGCGGCCATGATTGGCCGGCGCCAAGGGCAAGTGTGGCGTTGGCCAATCGCGGCCGCCAAATTTTTCGCCGTCGTTTTCGCCAAGCGTCCAGCTTAGGGCCCCAGGCGTAAAAGCAGCCGGGGACAGATATCCGCCGTACATGGAGGAGAAACCTAAACGGTATCGAGGAGATCTGGAACGGCGTTGGGAACTGAGACGTCTTCGCCGGTGGGAGACTGGGCGTCGGGCTCTTGCAGCCGGTGTATCCTCATGCAGGAGGATTCTTCGTGCTTGTAGAGGTAACTTTTGAGCGCAAAGGCCTTGCCACAACGGCGGCACACGAACGGCTTGGTAGGCGAATGGGTCTGGATGTGGGCCCTGAGGTTGGACTTGTCCGCGAACGCCTTCGAGCACTGGCTGCACTTGAACGGCTTCTCGCCCGTGTGCGTGCGAATGTGTCCCTGTAGCAGCCAGGGCCTGGAGAAGCACTTGCCGCAGAACGGACACTGGCAGCCCTGGCCGTGCGTGCGCACGTGCATCGAGAAGGCCGGCATGGAGACGTACACTTTGGAACAGTGCGGGCATTGTCGGGCCTTCTTGTCCGTCACGCTGCGGTGAGTCTGCCGGTGCCGGGCCAGGTTCGACGAGGTGCTGTACCGCTTGCCGCACTCCGGGCACACGTAGTACGCGTCGCCGTTCGAGAGCGTCGTGCGCATGGCCGAGGGTGGAGCCACATCCTGCTGCAAAGGAAAGACGCTTCTTTGGAATCGTGGCAAGAGCACTGAAACACTGGCTGTCAGAAAGCGGCAAAGTGTCCTTGAATGCACTATTTTTTAGTTGACGATTTATATGACTCGATCATTGCGAAACATTCTGGAACAACTTTTGGTTCGATCACTTTCTTTAAAAAGGTATAAAAACGTGGCTTTTGCATTCAACTTACGAAAATACATCACGGTAATGAGTACGCCGACACTCGAGTTTGGATCATTTAAACAAGATTATATATATATATATCAGGGTGTCGAACCGGAACCGAACCGAACCGAAAACCGGAACCGAACCGATATTTTTTCCGGAACTGAACCCGAACCCGAACCGTTATATTGTTATCGCGATGAACCCGAATCGGAACTGAACTGGAAAAAAAATAACGGTTACCCGCTCATGTCAAAACGGTTCGGCCACGCGCTGTTGACAATGAATGTGCTATCAATGCCATTTGTTTTTTAATTGCCGTCAACTGACACACACCTCGCTTACATATTTTTCTTCTCCACTCAGTCTTAGGAATATAAAAGCTGCATCCATTAATCTTGACAAACGCTGCATCCATGAATCTTGACATAGGAACCAGTATTGCGCTGGTCGCGGCTTGCACGGAAGAAAAAAAATTAAAAGGCTGTGCAAAAAAAAAAAAAAAAAAAAAAAAATCGCGTCACCGGATTTTATTTTTCTACAATCTCGTAAATCCTAAATGCTGCTGTGTGCTCATTTCATAACACGTTTCTAGAACGCGCGAGTTCTAGAAGCTTGCTTCCATCGGAATGAGAAAAGAAAAGGCTGTGGAGTTTGATAATAATGCATCCGGTTTCGTATAGGCACTTAGAAGCTAACATATTTGTGAGACAGCGAACTCTTCTATTTTAATATTTATCCTATTACGTCCTTCTGGCGTTGCGTTCGGTGAAGTGTTTTTCATATTCCGTATCTTGTTTAATGAAAACTTCTTTAAGGGTCTAATTTGAGTTACCGAAGGCTAGTTCAAATAAAGAAAGCTGTATTTTCTCCCCACTGTTCCTTCAATTGCTTACACGCCGAGGTGGCGGGATAGTTAGCGAGTTCTACTTGTAAGTGGGTTTGTAAGGAGGTCGCGGATTTTACAGCTACTGCGTCGGACCCAATTAGATGAAGGCCGAATGCGTAAACGTCGGTGAGGTAACCTTTGAGTGCACATAAAGAAACCATTCCTGGTAGAAATCCCTGAGCCTTACACTACGATGTATCCCGTTTCGTATGTGCTGATTTCAGATGTTTTATTTGTAATTTATTTTGATGTTGGAATTTGTCACTTATAATTTCCGAACCGGTTCGCGAACCGGTTCGCGAACCGGTTCGCGGATCGAATTAATCGAACCGGAACTGAACCGGAACAAAATAAATTTACCTGAACCTGAACCGTAACCGAACCCGTATTTGTTTCGGTTCGGCACACTGATATATATATATATTGGTGGAGGGGAGGAAAATAAATCTCGTATTGGTCCCCCAATTCTTGTTTCTTTATTATAAAATATTCGATGTTCGATAAAAAGAAAGCTACGCTTAGCAACTTAAATGAATTTTTCTAAAGAAAACCTGGAAGGATCGATAAAAGAAAATTGAATCGAGTCAAGTGTCTTTGGAGTTACGCAATGTACCTTTTCCCAGTAAGCTTCTGCGCATGCGCACACCCTCTCCCCTGGCTTTGCTTCCCGCTGTCTCCATTTTCGCAGGGCACCATCCCACACGGCCAATATTGTCAGCGCCCAGCTTTCCGCGTAATTTGTCTTTTTGACGAGTCTTTTTTTTTTGGGTATCGGTAGCATGCGGCATTCAAAGCAATGAAAACCGATAAAACGGCACGATGTCAATGTGGTTTGACGACGGGGATCCTGTTGGGCTGCGCATCATTTGTAGTTCGCAGACCAACCGCCAGACAGCGCTCATTACTCGAAAAAGGTTCATTTGAATGTTGTCCAGGGATGGGCGCCCTGCAGCTGACGTACCACCCTCTGATTGGTGTCTTCATCCATTCTGTCGTGTTCTTTTTATTCATGAAAGCATGGTCATCTACGTTTCGATTTATTTTGAAGTAAAAATTAACTCTAGATGTTGTGCATCTACCGTACCGACGTTTGATATACGTACGTAAAACTATACAAATTCATTTTCAAGCTGTAATTTTGCGGTTGATAGTCAGATGGCGTTGAGATCGGTGAGATGTTTCGGTGGTGTCCTCTAATGATTCCTACTCGTGAAGTAACGACCAGGATTTTTTTTTTTTTTTTTTTTTTTTTAATGCATGCGATCCTAGCCACGTAAATATTAGTTGGGGACGACAAGTTTGATGTTGTGTAAAGAGCACGTCGGAAGCTTGGAGTCATTCTATTCTTCTCCAACACCACCAGAGTTGACATTCTGACATCACTCGTACCAAAGACACTATACTGAGCTTCTGATAAATGGTGGTGGAAGGTCGACCACAGCGACGCTTTTAGTCGTGCGCGTCGCCAATACGAAGGCAGTGTTTTGGTTGTATGAGGTGTTCTGGGGACGCGTGGGATAACGTCACGGAGATCTTCGGGTGATGCAGGAGAGATCGATCGGATTGATATAGTTCAAGCGTTCCCACTGAGCAACGGATCTGTGGGAATTTAGATGCACCGTGAAGAGGCTTAAGTAGAGCACGCGAACGAATGCTTGGTTACAAACAAGTTTAACTAAACGAGAACCGCTTGTGCTCGTACATACCGAGCGACGATCAGAGCCACGATGGAAGAAGAGGGTTCTGAACAAGGCCAGAAAAGGGGTCGAAATTTCACTTCGGCTTCGCGCAACTACCGGCAGGGGCACTGCCGGTTTAGGGCTCCCACGTAGGCGCTGTCGCGCGTCATGCGGCCTTGAAATTGTGTGCGCAAATAAGGACGCTTCCTTGTTCTGTTGTAGGTTAAGAAAAGCGGGATAATCCCCTCCCATAAATCTCTCTGCTGGACGCGTTTTAGGCACCACCGAGAACGGACGACTTCGAACCCCGGAGGAGAACGTGATCCTGGCGTAAACACCGCCCCGATCCGTCGGCCCGCCGCCGCACGTATCGGCGTCTCGTTCAACGAGCGGCGAATATATGCCAGTCCTTAGTTCCAACATGGAGGTCGTCGTCGAGGGAGAAGTCATCGCCCCGGAGGACCTCAATGCCGACTGGACCCCAGTTCATACGGCCAGAAAGAAGGCTCGACAGCCGAAAATACCCTCACCGAAGCCATCCAACCCAAGCGAGCATCTGGCTTCCCGCAGCTCGCCAAGGCCTGGCTCCAAGCCGCGCTCGCCGCAGCTCCGAAGACTACCTGACGACGACTACAAGATCGTCATTCGTCCACGTAGTAGCCTCAACCTAAGCTCCATGAGCACAGGCAAGCTGCAAGACCTTATCTTCAACGCTGTCCAGACCAACTACGACGCCGCACGCGCCGACCAAATCCGAATCAACGCCACTCAAAACTCTATACTAATCAGCACCCCCTCCGAAGAGCGGGCGCGCACGTAATTCAACCTTCACACCCTACGCATCGGGGAAGAGAACTATCCCCTGGCCACATACGTGGCAGATCCTGCCAACACCTCAAGCGGCATCACCTTTGACGTTTCAGAATACGTTACACCGGAGAACATCAGCCGATACCTAATCGACTACAATCACGACCCTTCTATTCTCATTGCCCGCCGGATAGGAAAAACTAACTCCGTGCAAATAGTCTTCGACAGCCCGGAGGTGGCCCACTGGGTCAGCTACCACGGGGCCCCTTACCGCTGCGTACTCTTCAAACACAAGACGGAGGCCTGCAATATCTGCTGGAAGATCGGGCATAGGGCAGATGTGCGTCCCTGACCGAGAACCATTAAGTGCCCACGCTGCGGGATGGACAATCCGCCCACTGACCACGATTGTGAGGTGAAATGCGCCGTATGCCGAGGACCCCACCCCACGGATCCCCGAGGTGCAAGAAACGTTTTCAAAAACACCCTGCCATTCGCCGCCGTCAGGCACAACGCCCGATGAACGATTCCAGCAAGAGTTCAACCCCCCCCCCCCCCCGTGGCAGGTCCAGGGAACGCCAATCAGTACCCTCCAAGCCCGGATTGAGATCCCGGCCCCGTACTCACTCCAGACCCCGACCACGATCCCGATCCAGGTCCACACCGCGCCAGGCCCCTCAAGACGAGCCACCCCGACGACCAGCGGCCCCCAAACAGGTGAGCTGGGCTAGTGTGGCCTCCGGCCCCCCGAGTGGTGACGCCAGAGACAACGAGCTCGCTGCTCTACGGCGAGAGGTTCAAACTCTCACGCAATTAATCACTGTCGTTCAGAAGGAAAATACAGAATTACGAACCCTAATTAAACAGAAAGAGGTTACCCCTCCAGCACCCACTCCTATCCCTCTCCCACAACCCGTTGCGGTCGCCATATCCTCGCCTGATAGCGCCGCCCAGCCTACCAAGCGTAGAGCAATCGATACTAATGACGTCAAATCGTAGACGAATTACGCCGACTCTCAGAGTCAGTGACCGAAGTGTCTCGCGCTTTCAGTGCCAGACTACAAACCCTAGAGCAAAACGTTCACAGCCGTTTTACGGCAATCGAAGGCATTGTTTCAAAGCGCTCCTCTGAATTGGCCCAACTCGCCGGTCAAATGGACCAACTCACCAACCTCTCATCCCAGGCGGGGTCCTCCAATCCTCCACCACACCCACAATCCATACCCTACCTCCAACAGTGCATCCCTGAATATGGCTTTACCTCTCCCCCACACTCTAAGAAAAAAGGGAGGAGAAAGGTAGCAAAAGCGACTGTTCCTCCTTGTTGCGGACAAGTTGCCCAGAGAAGGGAGGAACGGCAGTTCAGATGAAAGGAGGAGAGCGAGTTCCTCCTTGTTCAGTTGGCGCAGGGGTAGAACATCGCGCTACTGACCAAGTGGTCAAC